AGGCCTCTTGCGGGCTCTCTGTGGCCTGTCCGAAGCCTGCCTCCTCTCTTCTTATGGGCTGCCGAAGGCGACGTTAGGCATTTTGGACCGCCCCCCCCCAAACCCCTCTCGGCAGCCGGCAGGCCTCTTGTGGGCTCTCTGTGGCCTGTCCGAAGCCTGCCTCCTCTCTGCTTATGGGCTTCCGAAGGCGACGTTACGCATTTTGGACCGCCCCCCCCAAACCCCTCTCGGCAGCCGGCAGGCTTCTTGCGGGCTCTCTGTGGCCTGTCCGAAGCCTGCCTCCTCTCTTCTTATGGGCTTCCGAAGGCGACGTCTTATGGGCTTCCGAAGGCGACGTTAGGCATTTTGGACCGCCCCCAAACCCCTCTCGGCAGCCGGCAGGCCTCTTGCGGGCTCTCTGAAGCCTGTCCGAAGCCTGCCTCCTCTCTTCTTATGGGCTTCCGAAGGCGACGTTAGGCATTTTGGACCGCCCCCCCAAACCCCTCTCGGCAGCCGGCAGGCCTCTTGCGGGCTCTCTGTGGCCTGTCCGAAGCCTGGGCTCTCTGTGGCCTGTCCGAAGCCTGCCTCCTCTCTTCTTATGGGCTTCCGAAGGCGACGTTAGGCATTTTGGAAGAGCTAAGATGAGCTACTTAGAAATCAGTTTGTGAATTTGCAGTGGAAAAGCTAGGTTTAGCTACTCAGGGATCAGATTGGTGAATGTGGTGTCAATACTTAGAGGTCATTTTGGTGACTGTGCTGTGGAAGTGCTACGTTGAACTACTCAGGGATTACTTTGGTGAACAAGGATCACTTTGGCGAGCGTGCTGTGGAAGAGTTAAGTTGAACAAGTCAGAGATTACTTTTGTGAGTGTGCTGTCAAGGAGCTACGTTGAACTACTCCGGGATTACTTTGGTGAACAGGGACCACTTTGGTCAGTGTGCTGTGGAAGAGCTAAGTTGCGCTACTCAGGGGCCACTTTGGCCAGTGTGCTGTGGAAGAGCTAAGCTGGGCTACTTAGGGACCACTTTGGCCAGTGTGCTGTGGAAGAAGGGATCACTTTGGCCAGTGTGCTGTGGAAGAGCTAGGCTGCGCTACTCGGGGATCACTTTGGCCAGTGTGCTGTGGAAGAGCTAAATTGCGCTACTCGCGCTACTCAGGGATCACTTTGGCCAGTGTGCTGTGGAAGAGCTAAGTTGCGCTACTCAGGGATCGCTTTCGCCAGTGTGCTGTGGAAGAGCTAAGTTGCGCTACTGGGGGATCACTTTGGCCAGTGTGCTGTGGAAGAGCTAAGTTGCGCTACTCAGGGATCGCTTTGGCCAGTGTGCTGTGGAAGAACTAAGTTGCGCTACTCAGGGATCACTTTGGCCAGTGTGCTGTGGAAGAGCTAGGTTGCGCTACTCGGGGATCACTTTGGCCAGTGTGCTATGGAAGAGTTAAGTTGCGCTACTCAGTTGCGCTACTCAGGGGTCACTTTGGCCAGTGTGCTGTGGAAGAGCTACGTTGGGCTACCGGACGTACTGAAGTCCAAAGTTCTAAAAATCTAACGACCCCACAGTCCTACGGGTGGGGACATATCACTTGAAAAGGGGTCGGCGGCACCCGGGCGGAGCCCTTACAATAAGTAAAATAAGTCTAGACGTGTAAAGTGCAAAGCGGGGACCAGCCACCAACAACGACTCGACTCTACTGAATTCCTGCGTGGTGGGCTTTAAGGTCATATGGGCCTATTGAAATCACCCGTCCGCCTCCTCTTGGGTATGCGGGCTGCATGGGAATAAAAACATGTCAATGGGCTGGTCAGTCTTGTAAACGCCACCCGTTGTCTATGTTCCTTAAATTCCTGTCGCCAAAGGAGTCTTCAGCAGGCTCCCAGATTGGAGCTCCGGGTCAGGGAAGGACCAGAGTCCAGAGCACAGATTGTATGATGGAGCATGTGAATTCTACTGTCTTTTATTCCCTGGTAGGAGTCTTCAAACGGGTCACTAGGTGGTCTTGAACAGGACGGATTGCGGGAGTCAGCGTGCCCATATTATTTGACTTAGAAGGCATCTTGTAGCGCAGCATAGGCACAATTGAACCTTCCACCCAGGCGTGTAAAATCCTGTTTTCTTAGTTCGTTCCAGGAGTCTTCCGGCGCATCGACGAATAACGATGTTGTGGTTGGGCAGCGCTGAGAGGAGGAACCAATGAAGAGTATATATGTATATATATATTAGATATATACCTCCTTTGCTTCGGTTCTTGCATATGTCATAGAAATCCTGCCCAGGATTTGGCGCACTGTCTACGCACTGACCGCCGGTATTTGCCATATGTACACAGGTTTGTTCTTGTTCAGCTGCCTGAAAAGGGCTGTGGCCAGGGTTGTGCATCATGACAGAGGTAGCTCGAATATTCAAGAGATGTATATTCGTTTGTGATCTTTTGTGGACACAATGATGAAAACATTTCATTTCCCTTATGCTTTTCAGAAATGCTGAAGTCCTGTCGTTCACTCAAGGTCCCTCTTGAAATCAATTTGGACCACCGTACCGTACCATCGATGCAAGATTGCAGTAGAAAAGAAATCCTTTTACTCAATTCCCATGCCTTTAAGTGACTTGGTATCTTTGTGTATCTTTGCTTTGCTTTCTGAATTCTTTCTATAGGGAAGAACTCAAGGTCTAGGATTTCACACTTTGGCGCTTAAGCCACCGTGGGAAAATTAAAGCGCAAACGCAGACCGCTACAGTAAAGGCAAGAGTGGACCAATGGATTCCTCAAAGCGAATGGGCTGTCCAATAATTATTATGCCATCTTCTCAAAGCTGGCCCACAGGAGATTGAGTTGATCCATGCAACACATGAGGCGTCTCCAAATGAGGCAGTGTCTTTCATGTTCGTCTTTCATGTTCATCCACCGGGTCCTACCCTCCTACGTTGGCTCCTGCATGTCTTCAGCTCGAAGACCCACCCAGCTTGTGAAGCCACGATGATAGTCTGCAGTTACCTGAAGAGTGCAACCCCAGTCTCACGAGCGAACATCTCAATACACACAGGTAGGACATATTTACCCTAAATGTTCAGAGATCGATCACTAAATGTGAGGCCAAGCAACTTCATTGTCCCTCAAGGCTGCCACTTGCATCAAAGTAGGCCCGTGCTCTACTTCGCGGTCAACATTTTCCTGGAGGTGGCTCATGTTTGAGTTCGGAAACTCAAATAAAATAAGCTAGTTGTCCTCTGGCGGAAGAGACTCTTCCAGCTGCTCTTTACCTCAACATGAGCAGATTTCGGACCGAGGACGGACCCCAGTTTGGTCACTGACTTGTAAATCAGCCACCCTGCCGCTCAAACGGCAAAGTCCATCAAGTCCGGCGAAACGTGATGATAGGACATCAATTCAAGCTTGATGGGGTACTGCTTATCATGTTCATGCATTCCGATTCCATTGAAAACGATAATGTTGAGTTCCTTCTGAAACCCCAACAGCTGAGAGCGATACGCTGGCGGCAAGCAGCTCTTGTTTCAGCCACCCGCAGCACCTCATCAACCCACCTGCCAAAGAAGCGGCCAATCGGTGACCGGGAAGTGACGAATCAAAAGTTCAATCGTCGCTCCAACGAGCCTGTCTACAGGTCGAAGAGAAAGTGGAGCACAGCGATCCAGGATCTCCCCACAGCCAACTCCCTGCCAACAAACAAATCTAGGAACCAGATTATTAGTTAAGTTTCCCCAAAAATCTAGGAACCAAATCATCAGTGCGCGCGCTTCTTCATGGAAGCTCCCCCCGCCGCCCTAAGCCGCCTTTAGGGCGGCGGGGGGAGCTTCCTTGAAGAAGCGTGAGCTATCCTGCGTCCTGTCGGTAGTACAGTAGCGTTCTTGTAGCTACTAGCTACCTAGCTGCCTCTAGCGGCCTACGCCCACCCCCGGGTTCAAAAAAGAAAACAAGACGGTCCCAAGAACCCAATGTCTGTGGTCTGCTGTCGCCTCTAGAAGCTCAGTGACCTCTTGGGCACTTCCCAGTTCCTTGGCTGCCTGCCAAGCCGCCGCCTGACAGCTCCAAAACAACTGAGGCGTGTGAGGTACTATTCGCTATTCCCATCTATTCCCTGCTTCCCTACATGGTACACGATTAGAAGGAAAAAAATGAAAGAAGGAAGATAAGGCCTCCTTAAAGGGGCCTTAGCTTCCTTTCTTCAGCTCTTCTTTCCTTAATCTTCTACTTCATGCTAGTTCAACCATTCATTGATGTTTGGCTTGTTGGAACTTCATCTTCAAGCGGGCGGTCCTTGGCTTCGGTGCTGCCTGAGTCCATGAACTCTCCCAGACCGTTCGCCCGGAAAGGAAAAGCCTAAGACTCTAGCTGGGAGAAATCTCCAAAGCCGCCACGGCATCCCTCAAGGCTTCTCGAGAATTCCTGGCATCTTCCATCTAAGAGGTACACTAATGTCTGTGTTGGAAATCAGAAATCAATGTCTGTGAGGAACAGAAATTGTGGCCTCAAGGAAAGCGCAGCTTCAGAGCGCAAGGTGAGCATGGTCGCCACCCGCACCTGGTCTGTGAAGGTCTGTCTACCGAGATGGCGCGTCCATTACCGAATATTTGGCTATATATAGAATTCTGCATGTTTGTTGAATCTGTCTGAGTGCCTCAAAGGGATCGCCAAAGCGCTGCCCTGCACGAGCAAGTTCATCCAAGGCCGATGTTGCTTTCTTGCCTTGGTGCTTTTGGTGCTTGATGGGAACACCGAAAATGAACAGTGGCTAAAGTGGGAATTTGCATCTTGGACGCTGACAAGCATCTTGAAAGTCCTCCGGCAAGGCACGGAAAAAAATAAATACACATACCGCTACTTTCTCCACATAACTTCGCATGTGCAAATTTGACAAGATGTCCGTTTGCAGCCAGTGCCATCCGAAAGTTTGCTCTCCTCCACCCTCAAGGCCTCTTTGGTTGCAACCTGACCCCAGACCCAGAGAAATTTCAGAGGAATATCAAAAACTGATTTTTAGAAAACGAATCCTTGCCCTGTGAGACACGGAATGCCACGGCCTCGGCCTCATCTACAACAACATAGATGGCCTCTGCAACTGCCTCATATTTCACATTTGGTCACAGAGGTCGCGGCAAAGCCAGGCACGGCTCATTCCCACGCCTGGAAGGATCGAACACAAGGTGCTGGTTCAGCAGCCTTGCATCCAGTTCCACGGGCAGTGTCTGCTTTCTTTGAGCGTTGACACCGGGGATTGTATTGTGTTGGCAAAATGTGCTGCAGACCCCGTGATGAAAATAAACTGCACAAAAATGGTTGCTCCCAGCCGTATCAAACAGTTGCGGAACTGCTTCAAACGAATCGTTCGCGTGGACCTTGTAGCATCGCCAGGAGGTTTCTGGCACGGCAAGGCTTTCCTACAGGAACAACAAAATTTATCAAATTTTGAAGGTGCCGATTTAATTGTCCAAAGCTGGGGAGATAGTGAATGTATGTGAATGTCAACAACACATTGAAGATCATTGAAATCTGTTCACGTCTGCTACCACTCAAACGTCCATCTTCCAATCCAGAGTGCAACCAAGCATCGGATGGAATACCATAGAGTGGTTTACCGTTGCAGGATAAGAGCCACCCATGCCTCACCTCGGCTCAATAAGCAAAACCCCGCAAAAAACGATCAGACTTCAGCCCTTCGCGCTTCGGTGTTTCACACACAACGTGGTTTGAACTGGGTACAGTATCTGCTTCCAGTTGGCTCGGCCCTTCTGCAACTGCTCATCGCGGAAAATTTTGAAACCTCGAGCCCGCCACATTCAAACAACAGAAGTATTCAAACAAGTAATTCAAACAACAGAAGTACTGCACATCGAATGAAGGACCTCGGCCTTACCTTCCCAAACAAGTCCAATAACATGTTTCAGGTTGATTCTAATTGTTCGTGTTAGTGCGTGTAACCCTTGGAATCAAAGGGGTGTTCCGTCTTTGTTTGTGTAGCTTTTGAAATAAGCAGGAGGCACGGAGACTGATTTCCTGAACAAAGCTACGGAAATCAGTTCGAAGGGAGTTGGGAGTTGGGGCGCCAACTTTTGTACCTGCGCTTTGATTTTGATGTGATGTTTAGTAGCCACCTGCTCCTCCAGCTGACCAGGCTATTTGGGTTGCTCTCAGGTTGGCAAATGTGAGCGTGCGTCGTCGGCTTCGTCGTACCTTTGAAGTCATTTGGAACTTTTGGAAGCCCTGGACCTCTTTCAGGATTTGACACTCGCATGTCATGATCAAAGCGCCTTACTTGTACTTTCACCTGGTTTCTTAGGTTTTTCACTTTGGTGGGCGTGTGGCAAACCGCAATCAGTTCCGTACACAATATCCTGAACGCACAGGTGAAGTGTCAAGCCGAGCCACACCCTGTTAAAATGCCAATAAGAGTGACAAAGCTCAGGATTGCAACAGCGAAGCCATTCAGCCATTCAGCCATTCAGCATTGTACCCAGTAGCAGCAGATTTGCAGGCTTCGCAAGTGTGTTCTTGCAAGCTTCAAAGCGTCAAGCCACATTCATGACCAGGAGAGCTGCATCCCAACGGCACTACTAGAGTGGAGGCAACGCACGGCTACCGACGAGACGACCCAGAGCCGCCAAGAGCCCTTCAAACGAAAAGGAATGTACAAAATCTATCAAAACTTGCCAGTCGAAGTCGCCAAGTTAAGTCTGCCACAACTGAGCAACACCCAAACTCGTTCCGCAAAACGAAGCCCAGCCATATCAAAACAGTACATATATATATATATATACTTGAGGAGTGAAACTTAGAGTGGGGAAGAGTTCCGTGCCTACTTTCCTTATAGAGTTGGAATGGGTTCGGGCCTGCTGCCGTAGTCGAGTAGTAGCAAATCAGCAACTTAGAGCTGAAACTTAGGATACCGGACTGGAACTTGGAATGGGAAGTCATCCTAAGCTTTCATGAACGGTTGAATCATGAAGAGAGACATTCTACGTTTTCATCGCCCCAATATACGCATGGTTTTTACTTGTTTTTGATCCTCAGGAGAGGCATTCTAACTCTTGCAACCACACCATATGCATGTTTTGAGGGTTTGCCGTTCGATCCGGTCGTTTTTTCTTTCCTTCTGCGATCCACAACTCCCCATTCTAAGTTCCAGTCCGTAAGTACAATTAGATAGAAACAACATGAAATGCATGCATAAAGCCCACAAAACATTCCAAACACAGCGACAGGATGCATCAGGAAGTTTGGACACGACTTTAACTAAACCACATCAAACAATGCTCCTCAGAAAAAGCTTGTTTGGTTCAGTCAGTTCAGGGCCGTTGCCTGGACGACGCATGTGCTGGAACACTGCCGCGTCACAGTGCTGTTCAGATGTTGCCTGGCAACAGCCACTCCAAGCGCTCAGTGTATGCTTGCAGCTTGCTGCACGATGCTGCACCCATGTTTCCCACAAATACAGTCAATCACCAAACAAAGCAGTTGTTCCATACTGTTTTTCCCTGCTATGACGCTATTTGCTATGCTATGTTTGCTTCATCTCGCTTTGAATCTACGTATGACTCTATGACAAATTCTAGAATGCTTTCACACACCTCTCGGCTGTAAGAAGTGCCTGCCTGGTAGATGCCATTTGTCTCCTCGCAGCGGGCATCGGTTCGGGAGCTGTGAAAGACCAAGTCCAAAGTTGGTCATGAAGCCAACAAGAAACTGACTTAGTTTATCTTAGTTTGGATACAGTTTCGAAAGCAAAGCTCCTCGTAACCAGCAGAAGACAAGAGCAATGAAGCTGGGCCATCGGCGCCTGGGCCATCAAGCTGAGCATTGCGGAACACAATCGACAAATCCCTCCACTTCTCTTCTTTTTTGGTCAACACGAGGACCGCCTGTCTCCAAAACGGTCCCATAGGGCACTCGAGCTTTGTATCCTGTTGCAAATCAGAACTTCAGATTCTGGATGAGCAAATACCAAAGAAGTTGAGTTTGGATTGATAAAGAAAGTGCGCACAAAGCTAATGTATGTCATTTTTGGCTCTAGGGCAAGTACGACACATTACGAAATCAAAGGACAAAGGAGAAGGAGGCAATCGACTCAACAATGCGACGGGTTACTCGATGAACAAAAACTGGCCTTGAGCTGCTCT